TTCACCCCCTGCGTAGACAGTGGAAGATGGGTTGCATTGCTGTTATCTTGAGTACTCTTTTGAACAACAGCCCGTCACTGCGGACCGTTGGAGCAGATGGGACGCTTCCCTTCTGGTTGACTTTGAAGCGGGTTTTCCAGCTGCTTCAGTGGGACGATCCGTCCACTGGGTCAGCCTTGGAGCTGCAGATGCTGTAACTGTGAGGAAATTAGTAGGATGCGATCGTCTTCAGTTGCGATCACGTAACTTCTGGGGCTACAGTGGTGGTGGTGGAGGCAGTATTGACTAACTGGAGCTGAATGCATATCTAAACAGCGTGATCCAGTCTCGAACGTCCGTCAGCGGTAGTCTCTGATGTAGTATCCACGCTACTGCTGTGTAGGACGTGGTGTGCGTTAGGGTCAGTAGGGCCCTCTGCAGGCACAATTCAGTCAGAGGTCGTTGAGTTTCTTCATGTGACACTGTTAAACAACTTGTGGTCAGTACTGACGTCCAACTTCTGCCATTTTGTCTGTCAACTATTCTCTACTTTCCTAATCTTTCCTGCCTTTTGGGCCCGTCGTGGTCCAGTCAGCTGACGTTTTTTCTCTCCCCCTTTTTTGGCTGTCGGGTTTTGTCGACCGCTATGGTAGACATGTTAATCGAATCCCCTCCCTTTCTTTCTCCCTCTCTCAGAACGCCCCGAGCATGGTAGCGTTTAAATTTGGCGGTGCCTCTGGTTTCTCCCAGACAGCCTCAATGGACTCCTCCAACCAACTGTCCAGTGGTGGTCTGAGCACCGGCAGACCACCAGAGTGGTCACTGTACGAAGAAGCTGGTCTCTTCCAGGTTAGCGTCCTTCGCATTTGAACTTTATGTCCCAAAACCCTCTCTCCCTCTGTCGGCTAGTGAATGCAGCTCTTCTTCCGTTAGCGCTTTTTCAAATTTTGTGTTCCATTTTTTTCAAAAGTTGTCAGTAAGTTTGAATTCGATCTGCTATTGTACGTAGAATTTAGGATTCACAAATAAAAATCTCTACGCATTCCATTTAGAAGAAATAATAGAATGCGGGAAGACGCTCTCTGGGACCAGTATTTTATTCGCCCGACGTTCCGGACTTTCACTCGAGGCCATTGTCAAGGAATGAAAACGTACAGCTCGCTGCAGGATTA